CTGATGCTAAAAGAAAAACTCCTGCTGGTGTTAGAAAGAAAAAAACTACTCCAAAAACTCCAGCTCAACGTAAAGCTATGCCTGAAAGTCTAAGAAATGAAATTAATCAGTATTATAAAGAACAAACACAAAAAACTATTGGAGAGTTATTAAAGAAACAAGCTGAAATGAGAATGGATCGTGCTATGGCACCCATAGGCAGTCAAAGAGCCCCGGATTTATTTCCTCAAGTCAATGTAGGAATTCCTTCTCCTGGAATTAAAGTACCCATACAGACTCCTAAAATAACCCGCTTTCAACCTTTTTCTGCTTCTACATCTCAACTTCCAAAAGGAATGAGATATAAATGTCGATATTGTTCCAAAATCTATGTCACCGAAAAAACTAAACATGAGAAAGACAAACATGGCATGTATGCTCCTCCTTAAAGAGTATAAAAGGAAGACACACTGAGGGACACTTCTTCATTGTTTGAAAAGGATGGCTAAGAAGAAGAAGAAGAAGAACACTTGTTGTTCTACAAGATTAAAATCTCATGGGCCTCTTTTAAGAGTGTTATTTAATCCTCATTATTCTTCACCCTTAAAGACAAGTATTTTAAAACATTGTTCTGGAGATTGTATTCTGAAGATTTGTGAGATCGTGTACAACCTATTTAAAGGAGTGTTACCTCTCAGTTCGGTTCAGAAACGAAAACTAACTCCAAAGAAACACATCTTAAGGAGACTAGTTCAACCTCAATCCATTCAGAAACGACGAGCTTTGTTAGTCCAGCAAAAAGGAGGCCTCTTCCATCTTGTACTCGCTCCTTTACTTATGGGAGCAGCAGCCCTCCTAGGAAAATGAGTCGTTAAATGGTGTTAGTTCCTGAAGTCTTATTGAATGAACTTAAAGGAAAATTACCGAAACCTCCGAATTTCAATCTACTATCAGTTTAGGTCAGGAATTAGATGAGATGACAAGATGTGAAGATTTAACCCCAGAAGAAAAAGTCGCTTTATATGGTCAAGAACTTCATCGCTATAGAAATTATTTCCAACAAGCTAGACAACCTACAAAAACTCGATCAGCTCAACCATCAGCAGCACCAGCAGCAGCTCCAGGAGCAGGAGCTCCACCAGCAGCAGGAGCAATTCCAGCCCCAGCAGTTCCAGTACCCCCATCCCCTGCAGAAGCAACAGGATCACCAGCAGGCCCAGCTGAGATTGAAGATGAAATCCTTGAAACAGTCAATAAAAACATGAAAAGAAAAGCTGGATTATTATTAAATCATTTAAAGAAAAACCCTAAAGTGTTAAATTGGAATAAAGAAGGTGAAATTAGTTATCGAGGTCAAAAAGTTCCAGATTCTAACATTGTGGATTTAATGGCTGATAGTATGACATCTCATTCTCGTAAAAATCATCCCGTTCCTACAGGATTAGAAGAATTTGCTCAAGCTTTAAAAGAGACCCGTACTCCTCTGGAATACCTGAGTAATGGAAACATTATAAAAGCCATGCAGAAACCTGGAAAAATCAGTACTCCTAAAAGTGACGAAAGAGACGATAGTGGATTTTCTTCCTTTTTGGACACTCCAGTGAGTAGTCCTATAGAAGATCTAGGAACCGTCATTAAAAAACCCATTTCAACCCCTGTAGGGACAAGGGTAGGATCCAAATATAGTCCCTTTAGAGCTCGACAGAAATTAAAAACCAAACTCGAAGAAGAAGAAAAGAAATTAGCAAAAATCGAAGAAAATTGGCTTCCTTTACCTAACAAATGAAAAAGAAACAAGTGGAAGATATTTTAAAAGAGATTTATTATGATCCTAAAAGAGGATACGGAGGAATACAAGCTTTGTATCGTCAGGTCAAACCTTTAGGAATTTCCCTGAAAAAGATTCGAGACTGGTTAAACGAACAAGATACTTATACTTTAAATAAACCCATTCAAAGAAAATTCCGGAGACAACAAACTAGAGTGACCGACATAGATGAACAATGGCAATTAGATTTAGCAGATGTGTCCAGTTTAAAGAAATACAGTGATGGATATACTTTTTTATTGTGTGCCATTGACGTCTAATCTAAATATGCCTGGGTAGTGCCTTTAAAACAGAAAACAGGAAAAGAAATGATTCGAGGATTAGATTGAAAGTCTGGAAAACTTTATATGGGAAATCAAATCGGAAACAGTTTCCTAAAAAACCTCAATTTAAACAAGGAGATCGGGTCCGCATTAGTAAAGCCAAATGCACTTTTGAAAAAGGATATTTACCTAACTGGACTACAGAACTGTTGACCATTTCTAAAAGAGTGCCTGGAAGATATCCTTATGTGTATAAAATCCAAGATGATCATGGTAAGGAATTAGAAGGCACTTTTTACGAAAAAGAATTACAACAGATTATTAAAAAAGATGATGTGTACGAAGTAGAAGAAATTTTGGGGTATAAAAAGCGACGTGTAGGGAAAAAAATCATTCAAGAAGTCAAAGTGCGGTGGAAAGGATATCCTCCTAGTTTCGATTCATGGATTCCCCAAACGGATCTCATTCAATAACTCCTCATTGGAAATTTTTTGGAGAGAAAGTGCCTCGAGAAGAAATTGTTTATTTTGCACAATTATTCATTTGTGTATCTCTTATCATTACCAGTGTGGTCATGTTAGCTTTACATGATACTAATCGAGAATATTGGATGGTCTGTGTTAGTTCTTCCGTAGGTTATATTATGCCTAGTCCTAAGAGGATACATCATACCCCTAAAAAGACTACAAATACACAAACAGTAACATAGTTTTGAATGTTTGTTGTTGTTATGAATAATATATTTGTTATTCTGAATGTTTGTTGTTTGTGATGTTTGTTGTTTATTCTTGTTATGAATAAAAATTATAGAAACATAAATCACAGGTCTTATTTTTCCATGTGACATTTTTGTGACCATGACGTCACAATGAGTATACTTGAATCTCTACCAAGTGTTTGTGTATAAGGGACTAAAACCCCAAAAAAAGAGTTTTTTTTCCTAATGTTCATTTGATGGGCAATTTAAAAAAAAATAAAAACCAAATTTGGTGATAAAAATAGAAAGATCAGAAGTGAATATCTTTCAGTCTCTTACTGAACATGGCTGAGAGCAGTGGTTTTTACATGACATTACCCAGTGATAGCTCCATGCAATCTTTTCCGAGGAATACCATCGCTCAATTTAAAACTTTATTACCACAATCTGTGGATTTAACGGATGGTCAATGGGAAGTAGCATTATCCGAAATGATTTATCCTTGTAGTATAGAAAATATAAGTCATGATGAATCTTATATCGAAGTGTGTATAGTGGGAAAAGTTCCACCTTTTTTTAAAGGCGTTTCACCATCAGAGAAACTGGATCTCGAGGACCCCGATAAGTGCCAGTGGGGACGGTTTCAATTATTGAAAAGTACTCCCATCACTTTTCAACAAACCCAGCTTATAGTAGATTGGAGTAAAGCTTATTGGTTAAGCGGTACTTATGATCCTAAAGAGAAATTGAATTTGTATCGACTTCGATTTAGAACGGGACCTTATCCCAACCCTACAGCTATCCTGGCAGAAATCAATGAAGGTTTAGTACAGACCATGAAAAAAATCTGGAAAAAGTATCACAAATGGACCGAGAAAAAGAAACCCACAGATCAAGGAAGTGCGATGGTGGTGGACAGTGATCAGGATGAGGTGTATGGACATTTAAAACAGAGCTTAAAGACAGTGATACAAGATCTGAAAGAAGAAGAAGAAAAACCCTCAAAAATTGAGATGAAATTTAATTATCGGAAGGATTTCGATCGAGTGAATTATGTCACTCATTTACGTCAAATTCCCATCTTTGTACGTCTTCCCTTAAGTCTGGCTTATAAATTAGGATTTCATGGTTCTAAATTAGTCCCGGAAAATTGGACAGAAGACATGACCAAATGGATTAACATCAGTTATCTGGCTCCAGACACTGTAGATTTATATCGAAATTTAAAATCCATGTATGTGTATTGTGATCTAATTCAACCCCAGACCGTAGGATCGAATGCCTTGAAATTATTAAGAGTGGTCCCTTGTCAATTTGAACAGAAAGACAATCGATGTAAATGGGAACCCATACGTGCGGAATATCTCCCTTTGAGTAAAAAAACATTTTGATACCATTGAGATACACATCATGACACCTTTGGGAAAACCCATCCCTTTTTTAAGTGGAAAAACTCTAGTCAAACTTCAGTTTAGAAAAGTGTACTGAGATGAGTGTACAGCTTTTTTGTTACATCCTATTGGGAGTCATGGCTTGTCTGGTATGCTGTCTATATTGTATTCAGCCCTAAAGGGGTATAAAAGGAAGTCCTCAGAGTGCAGGAAAGTCAGTTTTTAAGAACAGTTATCACCATGCAGTATCATCCAGGAATATTAAGACAGAGAGGACACGGTTGGACTTATCATAAAAGTTTATTAAGACAAAAAGGACACGGGTTTGGTCTTTTAGCTCCAGTGTTAAAATTAGCAGCTCCAGTAGTCAGTAATCTATTAGGTGGAATATTAGGAGGGGGTCAACAGCAACCACCCCCACCACCAGCAGCTTATTATTCATTATCCACCCCCAAAAAACTATCAAAGAGGGGAAGGATTTTTTACGGATTTACTGAAAACGGGAGCTAAACATGCCTTGACCGCTGCTGCTAGAACGGGGCTAGATGTGTTAGAAAATAAGAGATCTTTAAAAGACGCTATCAAAACTCACGGAGTACAAGCCCTGAAAAATACTTCGGGAATGGTGAAACAAAGAATGAATCTAGGAGATAGTAAGAAAAAAAGAAAACAGACAGAAAGAGTTCTGTTGGCTAGAGGAGGTCCTAAGAGAAAAAGAAAAAATCAAGGAGACAATATTCTCAAGAAGGCCTTTAGATGTCTTTGACTGAGAGACTATAAATAGAGCAGTGTGAGGGAGAAGAGTTTCATTTGTGAAAAATCAATCTTAGTAGACAGACATCATGTTACAGCCCGATTCCTGTGCCTATGGGATGGATAATTTACAATTGTTCCAAGTCCCTCCCACTAATATTGCTTTAGAAGACTCCAAATGGGAAGAATATTACCCTATTTCTAGTACTTTAGATTCAGAGACAGCTCCGATTGAATTTGAAATTAAAGGACAAGGAGATCAATATCTAGATTTATCTCAAACTTATCTTAAAATGGTATGTCAATTTGTCCAAAATGATGGAAGTGATCTGGCTGGAGATCCTGCTAAAACAGCCCCAGTGAATAATATCTTACATTCCTTGTTTACGGAAATTGATGTCAATCTCAATGGAAAAATAATCACTCCAGGGACCGATACTTATCCTTACAAAGCTTATCTGGAGAAATTACTGTCTTACAAACCCAGAACTTTAGCCACACAAATGAAAGCTTGTAGTCTATGGGAAAAGGATACGGCAGGACACATGGACAAAAGGGGGCTAGCAGATCTGGGGGTGGCTGCTAATCAGAACTTTGCTGTAGCTCATGATACTTGTACCATTAACAAACCCATCATTCCAGCATACCCAGCCAATTCTAAAAACGAAGGATACAGAAAACGTCATGAAGCCATAGATGCTAGTAAGAAAATTACTTTGTTGGATCGTATACATCTGGATTTGTTTCAACAATTAAGATCGATTTCTACCGAATGGAGTCGACGTCCGTTTGAGATTTAATCGAGCTAGACCTGATTTCTACATGATGACGGCTCAAGCCAATACGGGAAAAGTCAAAATATTAAGTATGGTCTTGTGGGTGAGAAAAGTGAAACCTTCCCCTACTTTAATGAATCAGATCAATGAAAGTTTGAATACACATAGAGCCAAATATCCATTAAGAAAAGTCGAAGTCAAAACTTTTACCATACCTACAGGAACTCAATCTAAGATTACCGATCATCCGTTTCAAGGCCAGATGCCAAAAAGGCTCATTTTAGGGTTTGTGGAGAATGCGGCTTTTAATGGAGATAAAACTTAAAAATCCCTTTAATTTTCAAAATTTTGGGATTAAAAAATTAGATGTTAGTATCAATGGAGAGACCATGATGACTCGTTGTTTCGAACCTAATTTTAATGAAGATTTATATCTGAGATCTTATCTGAGTATGTATCAAGCTTTGGGAAAATTAGGAGAAGATTGGGCTCCGGACATTACCTTAGAAGAGTATAAAAACGGATACCCTTTTAATGGGCTGGGATTTCACTAAAGGCCAAGAAGCCCAATCGGATAAATTCCATCTCATAGAAACAGGAAATTTAAGAGTAGAAGTTCAATTTACTAACAACACGGCTACCACTTTAAATTGTGTGGTGTATGCAGAACTTGATAACATCTTAGAAATCAACAAAGAGAGAGGTGAGCATTGATTATTAATGGATACAGGATAGTTGAGAGAAGTGTTATCTAGAGAATTAAAGAGTTCGTTTGGTGGAGTGTATCCTTTAGATTTATTACCAGATCAATTAAAATTTGGAGAAAAAGCCAATGTAGTCAATACAGATCCTCAAGATCAACCTGGAGAACATTGGGTGTGTTTGTATGTAAGCAGTCCAGTGGTAGAATATTTTGATTCTTATGGATTTCCTCCCTTACAAAAAGAAATTCAAGACTTTATCCATCGTCATGGTCATCAATGGATTTATAATCCGTATCGATATCAAGATTGGAATACGGATGTGTGTGGACAATATTGTGTGTATTATTTACATCAAAGACATATGAAGAAAATCAAAGCAGATGAATGGTTATTTCCCTTTGACCATAATACAGCTTTACAAAGAGATCATTATGTAGCTCAATGGTTTAAAGACAATTATCATAAAAGACCAACAGGTCAAGGACAAACTTGTCAATGTTTCTATTAAAATGTATTGTAAAAAAATTGTTATTGTTGTTATTGTTGTTTGTTGTTCTCAAATATAAAAGAAAGAAAAAAAAATACTTGTTATTCTTTCAATACTTAGAGGACTGATGACGTCACAATGCATAGGTCGGTGTGATTTGGATCGGTGCCAAGATTTTAAGTATGAGGAACTTTTTTTTTGCACAGGTGTTTCAAGAATAGGATCTCGTGGTGTTATAATTATACTTACAAAGAACTAAAAATAGTTTAGACTTAAAAAAATAGTGGAGATCAAAAAAGGTATATAAACCAGACCTGAGAGTATATAGATTCAGTCTTATTTTTTAGTCAGGGATTTTAAAACAAACCAAACCTTAAGATGGAAGAAGAAAATTCCAAGACTCTGAATGATATTTTTGACTTGGCAGCAGTAATGGCTGGTGTTGAACTACATGAAAGAAGAGGAATAAAAAAAAAATCCTAGAGGATATATGTGATATAATTCAAATTCTGAAAGAGAACCAGAAGGAAATAGCTAGTATAAGAAAAATGATTCAGGATCAGGAGAAAACAACTGATATAATGGTACAACTTCAGAAGGATCACTGTGAGTTTAGAGAAATCATAACATATGAAATTGGTGTGTTTAAAGAAGAACTGATGGCTGAGATTCGTAAGGATAAATAAAACCTCGAACAATTAAAAAGGAAAAAAACACAGAGAGAGTGATAAAAGAAATCCATGAAAAGTCCAGAAAAAAAAGAATTGACACTTTTTCTTGTTGTGATATTCTTGTTGTGATCTTTTTCTTTTCATATTGTATTATTGGGATCAATAATAAAGGTTTGAATTTGAAAATCTTTCTTTGTGTTTAAAAAAGGGGGCAAAAATTGTTGAACCGGCTATCCAGGATCTTGGGCGGGGACAAAAAGTGCACTCAGTTGACCTGGCCAGCGCATTTTGCCACTTTTAAAAACCCTTGATACGGTATCCTGGATAGACTAGTCCAGCGCATTTGAGATTTTTCTTATTTTGCCTTTTTTTTACCGGCTATAACGGCCCCTATACTCCAGGATAGCCCTGGCTATACTGGAGTAACCTACTACCTGCATCTCTAAACCTATCGAACACTGATGTCAGATTTGACAATGTTTCTTCAAAGATTTTCCCAAAAACGGTAACATCATCTAAATAACCTAGACAACGTTCCCACTGTAAACTGTGTAAAATTATTTCCATTAACCTTTCGAAGGTCGCAGGACTATTTGTTAAGCCAAACGGCATGACCTTGAACTGGTATAGTCCTTTATGAGTTGCAAAAGCAGTTTTTAGTTTATCATTTTCATTCATGGCGACCTGCCAGTATCCACTTGCCATAGCAAGTGTACAAAAGTACCGTGACCCTGACAGCGCATCTATTGACTCGTCAATTCGGGGCAGGGGGTATGCATCTTTGACTGTTAATTGGTTTAATTTACGGTAGTCGACGCAAAAACGCGTAATTCCGTCTTTCTTTTTTACCAACACTATGGGAGATGCCCATGGGGAAAAGCTTGGCTCAATAACGTTTTGTTCGATCATATTTTGTATTTCTTTTTCAGCTATTTATCGCTGAGCTAAAGGTAATCTTTTGGGAGTAATTTGATTGGTTTATTACTAACAGTATCTAATGTATGAGTGACTTTGATAGTTCGACCTAGTTTTCCATCTCAACCCACGAACTCGACAGTATATCGGTATAAAACCGAGGCTAACTTATTTTTTTCATCAACGGTGAGCTCAGTTGAGATATTCTCAAGCATAACTTTTAAATGATCAGGTACCTCATAGGTCTGCATTTCATTAGTGTCAACTTTTGTAAATTTGTTCCCCTTGAAATCACATTCCACAGAATTTGAGAAACCTTGAATTGTCGCATTGGGCGTATTTTTCTTGAGTTCTATAGACTCAGAATTTGTATTGAGGATGGAAAAAATGAATTTACCATTTCTGGTATTCACAAGTGATTTTGGAATTAATATTCCTTGATTTAGGTCACAACTGGTGTTTGGTTCAACGACACCCTCTGAACTCATAAATTTTGAATTTCCTCTGCTCCCCTCTACAAATTTCTCCGACAGACCAGAAATGGTTATGTCGTCTGCGAGATAAACTCGTGCACAACCTAAACTGTTTTCACTTTCAAGCTTTACTTTGAAATCTAGAAATATTAAAATTCCCTTTCTAACGTCAAATAAAACTTCATTTTCAGACAAAAAGTCTAAACCAAGGATTCCAGAGAGTCCACCTAACTCAGCAACAATGATTGGTATAATAAATGTTTTATTTTCTAATGACAACCCAACTTCGGTCTTCCCATAAACTTGTAATAATTCTCCGTCTGCGGTTTTAAGTTCATTTGTAACTCTTTCTAACTGATGATCACCAAAACCCATTAGATCAAAAATTTCTTTGGAAATAAGGGTTACAGCTGACCCTGTGTCAATTAAATGATTGTAAAATAACATTCGCGAACCAACAAGATCCTGACAATGACGATAAACGAAAATTATTGTTTGACCGTTTTGGAAATACACTCCCATTTTTTACCACTTCTTGGACTGGACTTCCTGTTGCAAGGACAGTCCTGTCAGGTTTGGGTGATTGTTTGAGTTTGTGTACCGAACTGGTTTCACATTGTTATTTTGAGATGAAGGGGTTTTGCTTTTTTCTTGACATTGACGACTTGTATGACCTAATTTGTTACAGGTATAACACCTGGTGTTTGACTTACTAGTATCTCTATTTTCTGACTTTCTGAATTCAGTGTGTTTATTGTGATTTCCGTGAAAATGGCAAATTCTCTTTAGTTTTGCGATTCAGAAGACTTAGTTTGATTAACGCTATTGTCCTTTTGAAGTGCCCTGACGGATTGATTCAAGAATATATCTTGCTCTATATTTCGTGGCTTAATAGGTAAGGACCTACGAGCACTTTCAAACGCCTCGTATTCGACAGCTAATGATATTGCCTTATCCAAAGTTGACGGATGTGAAAATTGAACATACTTTTTAAGTTCTAAATCACCGAGTCCACTGATGTACTGATCAACAACCAAATTTTCACTACTCATTGGAATGTTTGGAAAAGCACGATTAGCTATGCGGTTTAATGCGTAACCATAGTCAGAAACTGACTCTCCCCTCATTCTCTTTCTTCCTCTGAATTCGCATCTACATGCGGTCTCTCTTTCTGAGGGACAAAACCTCTGAGAGAGTGAAAATTTAAGTATGGTATAATCAGACAACTGCTCTGGCGATAACTCGCTAAGTATTCGTTGTGCAACACCGCGTAAGGACATGGTTAATTGCAAAGCCTTCTCTGACTCGGACCAACGGTTCCATAAGGCTACTTGCTCAAAATGTCTCAGATAGTCTGGCCATTCAACGTTTTTACCATCGAACTTATCGGGTTCTCTCTCTTTTCTAGTCATTAAAGACATAGACCTGTGTTTGAACAACGTTCAGGTACCCCTAAACTGTTTACAATATTGTCATTTTCTAAAAATTAAACTTGAGGTTTTCTAAATGGGGTTGAATGAACTGGGGAATGAAATGGCATAACATCGGATGAAGCAGAAGCTTCTGCATTCCTCGGGAAACCCCTTTTTGTCACGTGACTCGAAGTTGAGTCGGCATGTGTTTGAATATTGTGGAACAAGCCACGAGGTTTTGATACAGGAGATTCGCAGGAATAATCTGTATCTTGTGTGTAAATTTCGTTCTCTAGTGGTGTATATGAACGATATCCTGGAGAGGATCTGTGAATTTCATCGTGTTTCTGTGAGGAACATCCTCGATTTTGCGTGACATGAAATTCATTCTGACAAGATGGTGACATTGGAGCAAAATCTCCTTGTGATTTTTTATTTATTTTGTTCGGTGATGGAAATTGAAAGACATGTGAATTTTCAGTAATTTCATGGAATTGTGATGACTTTTTGTCAATGTGCGATGATAAACCTGCATTGTTTGCATGAAATTCAACTGCATCATGAAATGCAGGGTCGTTCAGCCTGTTTACATCTGACGAAGGTATGGTGTTTACTTCAAAAACATTATTTTCTGAATTGTTTGACAAACCTTGACTAGGATTCACAATCCTGTTAATATCTGCGTCTTGTCGAGGTGAAAATAAATTTCGCAAATTTGCACTAAGATTGTAAATCAGACGTGATGCCAAAACGGCATTTAGAACACAGAATACACAATAATTCAACACGGAATAATGAGTATAAAACTCAAAGAATAAATTCAATACAAATATATCATGATTCTCGAATCCCGCGGACGAAGCCCCCAATAATTTCTGTAACAGGATGATAGTTACTTTTCAGTCCCGAGTGTAACGAGATTCCGAATCATGATATAAATAAATACAAAAACCTGTATTGAATTTAAATATAATTTATTGATAATAAGAATCAACAAAAACAATAGAAAGAGAAGTGCAGTGGAAATTACCTGTAAACTTTGTAGGTTATTGGAATTAATTTCAGGAAACAAATTTGGATGCCAAAATAGGGTGAAATATACGCTGCAAATAAGTTTTCAAAGAAACTGTATGGAGTCAAGCTCCTGTAAAAATAATAACGACTATATAATAATAACGACTATATTCAACTGCAAACAAAACCAGACTGCCGCAGGCAGCGTCGGGAACGCCCGGATCCTAGCGGAGGAGTACCGGTTGTCAAGGACAACCGCACTTCGCCCCCCAGGAGCCAAGAACGATAACTCGCGTAAACGCTAGGTCTCTCCACTTCACAGCCTTTACAAAAAAGACCGTTTTTCAACTCAGTACAAGGTTTAAATCAAGAGATTATTCGTGTACAAGAATCTCAGAATGCATTGTGAGTGCGTTTCTGGTAATACAACCTTTACAAAATGTGACCAGAGAAAAACGGTCTCTTATTCCGATAATAGGAACAGCATTTAGCTCTTAGTTCGGCACGGTAAGCAAAGATGACATTCAAGCGATTCAAGCCAACGTAAACGGTCTAATGAATAATCAAAGAAAGATAACTCACGTCTTAGAAGAGGTTAGCAATTCTAAACATTTTGCGAGTTGAAATAAAGGGGAACAGGCACGCAATAAATGACATTTTAGAAACGTTATCAATTTTAAAGCAATTGAATAATTTTTTTATACAACAATTGAAAAAAGAAATTTTACATCTTGACCATATTGTCCCCGGCTTTCACTGAAAGTGGGGGATATTAATTTGGGTCTGTATATCCGTCTGTCCGTCCGTCCGTCTGTATTGAGCTTTCGCAAAATTTGCACAGCAACTCCCTATGGACTAAAGAAGAACCCATTGATTTTGAGGTAAAAAGGACAAAGGTCAAGGTCATAAATTCTGTTTGTTTTAACACTTTCGTTTCCGCGCGATATCTCGAGAATCCTTGGAGCTTTTGGAATGAAATTTTACATAACAACTCCCTGTGGCCTAAGGAAGACCCCTATTGATTTTGAGGTCAAAGTTAAAGGTCGTAAATTCATACATTCGATTGTGTGTAACACTTTCGTTTCCGGGCGATATCTCAAGAAGCTTTTGAGCTTTTGCAATGAAATTTTATACCATAACTCCCTAGGGCCTCTCTCGCCCCTCTCAAAGTGTCGCGCCCCGTTTTTTTTTTATTATTGTA